GCAGGCGGTCAAGCCCCCCGGGCTGCTGCCGGCCTTAGTTGGCTAAGCTGATGTTTGTGACGCGGCCACAAGGATGAGCAGGTAGCACTCGCTTAAGAGGTGGACGCTGCTGTTGGTGCAGAGGGCCAGTGAGGCCACCGTCAGAGGCACCTGCCATCACCCCAGGTGCTCACCCAGGGAAGACACTTTAGCTTGGCTGGAAGGACGGCCCAGAGCAGTGGTATTCTTACCACCCGGGACTCTGTTCTGGCACAGTGTTCCTTTTTCAGGTTTTCATCCTTAATTTTTATGCTTTTTAAAACATATTTAATTCTGGGGTGCCTGCGTAGCTCAGTCCGTGGAGCATCCTGCTCTTGGTTTTGGCTCAGGTGGTGGTCTCAGGGTTGTGGGATTGAGCTCTCCATGTCTGGCTCTGCACTCAGCAGGGTGTCTGCTTGTGACTCTCTCCCTCTCTCTCAGCCCTCCCCCTGCTTGTGCACACACGTGTTCTCTCTCTCTCTCCCGGAATAAAATCTTTAAAGAAAATAGAAAGTAATAAAATATATGTAGTTCTACAGGCTCTCAAATCCTCTTGTGATTGGACAGAGTTGGCCACTGCACCCTTTACTCAGTTCCTTGTGCCTCTCTTCTTGGGGCCACCAGCGGTGAAGCTCCGAGCAGGTTGCTCTGCTGGCATCTCAGCCGGGGTGGGGCATTGAGAAGGGGTGCTTCCCAGGCTATGGTCTAAATCACAACGAAATTAAGGTTGATATGGGTCAGCGGGGAGTGTTTCCTATCACCATAAAACAAGTTGCATGTTCTCACATCTGACACATGAGTTCATAACTTCAGGGTTCTCTTTTTCAGCTTTTGAAATGACATTAACAGAGGGAAACAAGCTGGAGAAGAAGCTCTTCTATTCAACTTTCGCTACCGTGAGTAAACGTTCAGTGGAGACACACATGGTCCAGCCGTAGAAATCACTGGGAATTTCCTTGTAGGTTTTTTCATTAAATACCATTTCTCTTTGGTCAAACTGTTTGCTTTCCCTGTAGCTGGATCCGATGTGTCCTGTCCACGAGCATGATTTTTGCAAATGAGTACAGTGTGTAGAAGTTCACAAGTGTGAAGGGTGACTTCCTATTACAAAAGGTCTGATGAATCGCACCTTTAAACAGCAAGCTCCTGTATTTAAATGCAGTGCATCTGCCCATAATTTTCTACATCGTTCCAGTTACTTGGAATGGAGTTCGAATGTATTCTAATACTGCAATCTGAAGCTTCAGATCAATGTTTTCTAGGATTTGACAGTCACTGAAAGGGAGTCCTTCTTGTAAGTCATTAAAACCCATCTCTCAGTATTGGAAAGTCACGTATAGGTGTTTTATGAAAGAGAGATTAGAAATGACTTTGGCTCTTGAGGAAGTGAAGGTGTGCGTGTGTACCTGCGCGCACATGCAGGTGATGAGTGAGTGAATGACCCAAACAGGTGCATCTGACGTTCTCTGTGGGTGAGAGTTTATTTGACACACAAATTAGTGGTTCCTGAATGATCACACCTAGGGGCTTGGGGGGGTGGCATATAAAAATGCCTTTCCAGGCCAACCCTAAGTGGTCAGGGAATCCAGGCTATTCCCAGGTTTCCAGGTGGTCCTGATGCAGGACCCTCCCTCCCTGAGCTCCTCCACTCTGGAAATCCAAGTTTCAGAGGAACCCGCAGACTGTGAGCAAACCACAGAGACACGCAGAGCCCCACGCCTTGACTCCGTAGGAAAACGTGAACGTCCATCCCTGCCTGTTTTCCCTTTCCCACAGGAAGACCGGAAAGAAGGGATGACCGCATTTGTGGAAAAGAGAAAGGCCAGCTTCAAAGACCAGTGAGCGCCTCCACCTCTGCCTAGAAGCCTCTACTTAAAGACAAATTAGAGTCTGTCTTAGAAGCAAGTAAATCCTTCTTTTATAAAGGGCCGTGTCGATGACACACAGTTTATCTCTGATGCTTGGGGCTCTCGCTCCTGTGTGGTAGGCAGTCTTCACCCAGCGGCCATGAGAATCCGTATCTGGAGCATGTTCACACTCTGACTGACCATATTCTTAAAAATTATGAGGGGAGCCTGGGTGGCACAGTCGGGTAAGTGACTGACTGTCGGCTCAGGTCAACGGATGAAGCCCCACATCAGGCTCTGTGCTCAGCGGGGAGTCTTCTTCAGATTCCCTCTCCCTCTGCCCCTCCCCCACTTGTGTGCGTGCGCTCGCTCGCGCTCTCTCAAATCAATAAAAATCTTTTTAAAAATTCTGCTCATGAGCCCTTGGTGATGTGTTTAAGTTTTTACTTGATTTCAGGAACTGAGAGATACTTCGATGGCAAGCACTCACTTTGTACAGTGAGCTGCGTTCGGATGGAAGCAAGTCCCCTGCTTGGCCGCTGTGCAGTTTTACGGCCAGTGAACGTGACCGCTCAGAGGGCGGGTGCTGCCGACTACGCGGCACATGTGAATCCCATTGTGCCTCTCTGGAGGCAAATGCCATGTCACTCTTCAGGCTTGTTTTGTCATTGTGTGTGACCTCAGTCAAACAGAAGAGAAGTCCATAAAGTCAGTCACCTGGCACACTCCCAGGGTAACCACTGTTAACAGGTATGTAGCTTTCTAGATGCTTCTGTGAACACGTGTGCAGACACGGGGATAGCAGTTTTCTTATAAAAATGGAATTGTGCATCCACACTTTGGCACAGCGCACTGACCGGTCCCACAGGTGCACCCTCTTCTGTTTAAATTGTGGTAAAGTCTAGGAAACATAAAGCTTACCATCTCAACCATTTTTAAATCTGCAGCTCAGAGGCACTGAGCATAGTGACAGTTTTGCAGCCGTCCCCACCATCCATCTCCGCGCTGCTTTGTCCTCCCAAACAGAGACTGTCCCCGACAAATGCTAACCCTCGTCCCCCCCCGGCGCTGTCTCGGCTACCTTCCTTCTGTATCTGTGAATTCAGCGTTTCCGGGCTCCATCAGGTTATAGCAGGTCCTCAAGCTTGCTTGCTTCTCATTGCTCGGTATTATTCCTGTGAGCGTTCCGCTCGATGGCCCTGAAATACGTGGTGATACAGGAATGTCGCTTACTTACCCAGGATGTTGGATGTTTAGGCTCCAGTTTCTTGTTATCAGGACTGTCATGGATAACACTGCAGTGACCATTCTGTGCGTGAATCCTTGCACTGCGGTGCAAGCATGCCTGTAAGATTTCGAGAACTGAGCCTGCGGTGGGGACCTGCCCACTCTGCCCCATCAGCAGCAGTCGACAGGGCCCCTCTTCTGGTGCTTGTCAGTCTGCAAGATTGGTGTTAGGCCTGCTTGCATCCAAATCCCTAGGGTGCTTGCTTAAATGCACATGCCCAGACCTGGATCAGAACTATGGGAGGCCCTGGAATGCGTGGTCTCCAAGGCATCCTGGTGCCCAGCAGAACTGTGTTCGGGGCTGTAACACTAAGTGCCATTTGCTGTGGGAGACAGAATTTCCACAGCAATCTTCCTCTGCTGGCTTCAGACTGGTGGACCAGCTGCGTCCCCCAGATCACACCTCACAGGGCACTGGGTGACCGAGGGACCCCAGTTACAGGAAGCCACCTCTGCCCCACCAAACATCTGCCACTGAATTCGTGGGTCAGTGAGGCACAGTGCTCTAGACCCTCCATCTCTCCAGGCCATTGAGTAAAAGTCCTGTGCATGGGTCAGAGACGGTTCTCCTACTGCTTGGGAGGGCTTCATGGGTGAAGGGGGCTGTTGCTGTCCCAGGGTGGGGCCCCAGCCTCAAAACATCCTCAGACCCTCTGAGGAGAGATCAGGACATGGGCTTCTCTCCAGGTGGGCGCTGGGCACCATAGGGGACCCAGCTGGCTCTTGGCGCTGGGCATGCAACAGAGCAGCTACAGGTTAATTGATGGCCCCACGTGAGGGGGTGAGGCCCTGCTGGCTGCCATGCAACCCCCATCCCTCACCCCATCAGTCTTGCTCTATGGAGACGGCCCCAGCTCTCAGTGGAGGTGTGCCCATGGCACTCTGGGATGGCAGATGGAGTGTTGCCACCATTTTTGGAAAACAGTTCTGCTACACGTTCAACCAGGACCGGGCCCTGGAACCACCATCCTGACCCAGCCCTGGACACAGAGAGGCTGTGGGGTGCACTTCCGGGGGGGGGTATCTTCCAGCAGGGAGGTGGTGGCACCCTGAACAGGAAAGCACAGTATGGTTTGTGGTCCCAGCATCCCAGATCCCAGGTCTCCAGGGACAAGGGTCAAGCAGGCAGGGGACTCTGGCCGGCTGAAGGCAAGGTGCTCCTCTGTTCAAGGGGACGAGGTGTGGATCCATTCCCCACCCCTCCCAATCTGGACACCCCATCTTGGTGGGGTGGGGGCGGGAAGGTCCAGTCCTGAGGAGGACCAGCAGCTGGGACCCTGGGTAAGAAGAGGTCGGGTCACTGCTGTCCTGGGATGGGACACTGCACCCCATCAGGTACCTGAGGGGTGTCAGCAGGTTGACGCCTGGGAGACAAGGTAGGGACCCCCCAATAAGGTGCTCCCAGCACACCAGCTTGGCCGGGAGGCCGCTCCTGCCTGCCCTCCAGGGTCCCCTGTAGGGTCCCCTCCAGGGCAGGCCCGTGGGCGCCCTTGTGAAGAATGTTGGTTGAAGAAGTCGGACGGCTCTGGCCACCCGCCCTCCCAGGGACCCAGCGGGCTGGGGTGGGAGTGGGGGTGGGGGTCAGCATGGCCTGGGGAGCGGAACGGAAGGGGGATGGGGAGGCCGCGAGGGGCGGCAGCGGGAAGCTCGGGCCTGGGATCCGGCGACGGACGCGAGGCCCCGGAACACGCTGCGGGGCTGGGCCGGGTGTCGCCCCCGCCCCTGGGCAGCACGCGCAAGCCTCAGTCCTCCGTGCGTCCAGCCCTTCAGGGCGCCGCGGGGGGACCCTCCCCATCGCCCGGTCGTGCCCCCACTCCTGCCCCGCCCCTTCCGCCGAGGCCACGCCCCTCCACTCCAGGCCGCGCGATCATGGTGGTGCTAAAGGGCGTCCCGGCGCTGCTGTCCCCTGAGCTGCTCTACGCCCTGGCGCGGATGGGGCACGGAGACGAGATCGGTGAGGGGCGGGGACAGGGCCCCCGCCACCCCAGGCCCCGCAGGGGTCCTGACCCAGGCTGTGCCCCCGGCCGGGAGGCGACCACTCCCCAGGCCCGGGAAGAGCCGGGTCCTGGGGTGGAGGCATTGCTTTGGCCGCCCCGTCCCACTTCCCAGTAGGACACCCCCGCAACCCCACATTCTTTAGGAAACAGGCCCGGTTGGTGGCCCAAGCCCCTGCCCAGACTTGGTCGCCCCCAGGCGGTCATGAGGACGGTGGCCCTTGGTCCAGGCGGGGCTGTGTCGGCAGGTCCGGCCCCTCCCCCAGCCCGGCTTTCTGGGGGCCCCGGGGCCAAGTTCCCAGCTCCGGCCTCGGGCCCAGTGTGCCGCTCATTCTCCAGACCCCCTCCCAGATGGCCCACGAGGGGCCACGCCGCTTTCTTTGGGGCGGTGTGTCTTTTCCTGGAGCCGTGGACCTGGGGCGGGGGCTGCGCGGCCGGACGCCGGGGCGGGCTGGGGGCGGGGAGGGGGGGTCCAAACCCCGCCCCCGTAGCCCCTGCAGCTCCTCCTGCACTTGGAAACTTCCTGTCCCCGCCCCCACCTCTGACGATAGGGGTCGACGGGTCGGGGAGGGCCGTGGGCGTGGCCTGCCGTCGGACAGGTGACCCACCCGGTGGGAAGGTGGGCTGCGCGGACCCGCGGACCCGCCGGGGGATGTTTAACCGGGTTGGATGGCTGTTCAGTTTTTGCAGACGTGAACTTCCCCACCTCCTCCATATGCAGGTGTGGCCCGGAGGAGATCCGCGCTGACGGTGAGCCGGCCGCCTCCGGCAGAGTGGGGTTAGGGTGGGTAGGCCGTGGCCCCAGCTCTGGGCTCCCCAAAGTGCTGCCGCTCTCCCCATCCCCACTTATTCCCCAGCACCCCCCAGTGACTCAGGAAGTCCCAGTGCCAGGACCCGCAGAGACCGTTTTCCACCCCAAGGCCCCAGACGTGACCCTGGGCCTCCTGCTCCATCTCAGATACCTCTCGGTAACTTCTTGCCAGTGGGGAAACTGAGGCCCAATGCCTTGTTGGCTGGCTGAGCACTGGTGCACCCCTGTCCCCCCACAGCCCAGGTCCGTGTTCAGCTTTTACTCTGCTATAGAAATCCCACTACTGGTGACCTGACATGGGTTCCAGGTGCCCCCATGCTCTGTCTCTGAGACCCTCTGACCCTCAGGGGTGGGCCACAGGCTTGGCTGGGAGGGGCCTGGAGTCAGGTCCCCAAGGTGATGGTAGTAGCAGAGTTAATACCAAGAGTAAGGGGGTGGGGGGTGTGAGGACACCAGCGTCCCCCTGTCCTGTCCTGCCTGGGCTGGCAGTGGGCTCAGACTGGGCCTGACTGTCTCCCCACCCTTAGCAATGCTCTGAGAGGGGACACAACTCTCCCTGCAAAATTGAGGCCACTGAGGCATAAAGATGTGAAGTGTAGGGTAAACCAGCCCCTCTGCACAGAGCGGGCCAGTGGTCTGAGGCCTGTCCAGTGGGCTGCTGGCTCCGGGCCCAGTGGCCTTGTCTTCCACCCTCTGCTGAGGGACATGAGCCAGCCGTGCCTCAGTTTACACTGTGGGCCAGATGACCAGCATGCTCTCCCCCACAAGGAGAATGGGACAAGGTGGGCCATGGGAAAGGCCAGAATGCTGGAAGATAAGGAGTGGCCAAGCTTCCGAGTGACCCGCACGCGCTGCGGGTTAGTGGAAACAAGCAGTTAGGGGTCAGAGCCAGGTACGCAGACAAATCTAACCACAGAGAAAAGCAGAGAAAAAGGAGGAAGAAAATGCACCCGGGATAGCAGGGTTTCCCACCAGCAGGCTAATAAGATTACAGCCAATTCTTTCTTGTCACCAGCTCCATATTTCCCCGTTTTGTACAACCAGCTTTACAGGAGAGCAGGGACCTTGGAGACCAGTGGGCCGGTTTGGGGACAGCCTGGGGCAGTGCGGCCTCTTCCCAGACCCCACTGTCCTCACCACAGGATAAAGGTGGCAACCCAGGGGTCGTCTGGGGGAACTGGGGTCAGGGAGGTGGCCCAGGTGCCCCTCTGGTGGATGAGTGTTTGAGGTCACCACCAATAACCTGTGTGGTGCAGACTGAAGGGCAGGGCGAGCCCAGAGCCAGGATGGTCACAGGTGCTGTGGCAGGGAGAAGCCAGCGTGACCCCAATAAGTGTCACCAGGCAGGCAGCCGGGGCCTGCATCCGTGGCTGTCCCGGCCCACACCGTCCCTGCTGGCCGGCTTCGTGAGCCCAGGGTAAAAGGCCCAGAGGGCAGGCGGCTGCGGTCTGAGGCTGGCCCTCTGCCCTAGGCCTGGGCATCCCAGAGCTCCTGGAGGCCGTGCTGAAGATGCTGCCACTGGACACCTACGTGGAGAGCCCGGTGAGTGCCTGTCGCCACACTGCCCCCGTCCCTGCTCTGGTCCTTGGTTTCTCCTTTGTCAGACCTCAGAGGACCCACTTGCCTTGAAGGGTGGGGGGGAGGACATGTGTCCCCACAGGGCCCTGAGCCTGATCAGCGGACCCCTAAACTGGCACCCAGTGAGGGGGCTGGAAGCGCCCACGGCAGCTGGACAGATAGCGCACAAGCTGACCCCCTCTGTCCCTAGGCTGCTGTCATGGAGCTGGTGCCCAGCGACAGGAAGACAGGCCTTCAGACTCCAGTGTGGAGGAGCTACCAGTCCCTCCTGTCTGAGGCTGGCTGCACGGTGAGGCTGCGGCCCCCACCAGGGAGGCACTCAGGGACCCTCTGCACCTCCTTGGAGGCCGGGGAGGAGTAAAAGACAGGGGCCCCAAATCCACCCTACAGTTGTGGCCCACTTGCTCACCCTCCACGGAAGAGTGACCCTGGGGCTGTGGCTGTCCCCTGCCCCCAGCCTCCCACCTCTCAGGTCAGGGACCCTGTCGTGGCCTGTGGCCCCTCACCCACCCCAGCCTTTGTGAGTGGAGCCAGGGGCAAGTGGGGCACCCCTGGCCCCTGTCTTGTGGTCAGAGGCCTGGCCTAATGCTGTGTCACCCCCACATTGTGAGGGGATGAATCTGTCCCCCCAGGACCTCCCACCAGCACGTCTTGGGCAGGACCCACCTGAGGAAAGGCCGCCTGGGACTCCTATCCTGGGCAAGGGCCCTCCTGCCTTCAGGCCAACTCCAGGAGACACAAGGGCCCCAGGCAGCTGGCCACCACAGCCCCCCATGTCCCTGCCTGTCCAGTCCTCACAGCTCAGAGGCTGAGCATCCTTGGGACCTCAGCCAGGAGAGCCAGAGACATGAAGCTCAGAGTGGCCATGTCTCCTCATGCCCCTGGCACCTGCTTGGGCCCTGAGGGTTTCTGAGCAAGGTCCCTCAACCATGACATTTTGCCTTCCAGAGCACCCTGGCGAAGATAGAGAGGTTTGAGTTTTATGCGCGGGCCAAAAAGGCTTTTGCTGTTGTAGCAACTGGGTGAGTTCTGGCCGAGTCCACGGGGTCCTGCAGGGTCCTGCTGGTCAGGGTAGGTTCGGCTAGGTCTGGCTAGGTCTGGGTCATGTGAGGCACTCCCCCTACCCTCTGCTCAGCCCCTGCCCCAACTGAGACTAGAGGCCCCACTGGGAATAGGATTGTCAAGGGATCTGCCTGAGGACTGGTCCCTGGACTTGTCTAGTGGGTGGGGTGAAAGTGGATGGGATGGGGGGGCAGAGCAGGGATCCCAGCTTGGTGCTCAGCTCAGCTCCTTATGCAGGGAGACGGCCCTCTATGGAAATCTCATCCTCAAGAAGGGGGTGCTGGCCCCTGAGGCACTGTTCTAGGCCTGGCGAAGACCATTGGGCCCAGAGAGGAATCTGGATCTCTGAGCCAGACAACGGACGAATTGGCCCTGCCCTGCTCAGCCCAGACTGCACCCAGCTGGGGACCCCAAGGGCCAGGCCAGTCCTTGGGAGGTGTGGGGAGGGGCTGCTGACTGGGACTGGGACTCACCCAATTTACGACAATGATATGAAGTGTGGTGACTCGTCAGTGTTCAGTCCAGGGGTTTCAACAACAGCCCCATCCTCACAAAGACTTGTTTAGTGCCGAACACAAGGGAGGCCATTGGCTCCTCAGAGCACCTCCCCCCCGCCCCACCCCATGCATCCTCAGGTGGGAAGGAAGGCCTCCCTCCTGCCTAAGATTTGGGTAGCCTGACTCTGAAGCAAGTCCCTGGGTTCGGGACAAGAGCTCACACAAGTAGAGATCCTCATGTGAGGAGACTCCACAGAGGGCTGCGCTGGGGGGGGCCATGACTGCACTGCAAGAGGCTTGGGGGTGGGCAGCCCTGAGTGGAGGGGGGTTCTGCAATCAGCCCCCCAGGCGCAGACACTCCGGTGGCCCTTGAGAAGACCAGGGCCCTTCCTTCAGTCCCAAAGGCAGGGAGGCAGGGGGGACGGGTTGGTCTGGATGCTCTGAGAGGTGACTGTGTGTCTGGGTGCTGGAGAGGGTGGGGGCTGGTCATCTTTCCCTCTCTCCAGTGGTTGAGTGCCTGCTGAACACACAGGGGCCTGAGCTGTCCTGGGAAATGGGGGTGGGGAGGTAAGGGACAAGAGGATGCCCCTTGCCCAGCAGGCAAAGGGCCAGCCTGCCTGGAGGCAGCATGTGGGAGGGAGGCTGTGATGGCTTCCGGCATGAGGCTGGGGTGGGGGCTCAGGGTGCTCATGGTGGGAGTATCCTGCCACCACTGCTCTGGACCCCAGAGTCTCCCCAAACCCTCGCCCTCCCCTCCAGGCCTTCCTTTAGCCATGTGGGTGCAGAAGCTGGTATGAACGGGGGCTCCTGGGCTTCTAGGTCCCTCAGAGCCTGGGGAAGGCTCCCGTGCTTAGGACCGGGGCTGGTGTCCCAGATGCCAAGGAGAACTTGGAGGGCAGGCAGGCCCACTGGGCTGGAGGTCTGGGGCTCAGCCTAGGGAAGGGACCCTGCCCGGGCCCAGTCACTGCCAGGGCTTAACCTCAGACCCCTGACCCCACGGCCACTGCTAGCCACACAAAGGCTTTTCTTTAAACAGCTTTATTGAGACTTACCTGACATACAATAAACTGTACACTTTTAAAGTGTACAGTTAAATGCCTTTGGATGTTGTCACACTGGCGAGTCTCTTGCCTCCTCCAGCGTCCCCTGCTCACGAGGCTCACACACCTCAACGGCCCACTCCCAAATCCTAGCGGCACTGTCTCTCCAGGAGCTCTCGGCCACGTGGCTGCACCCTTGGGTGGGAGGAAATGCCCATGGGGAATCCTGGCTCCAGGGATGCCAGAGAGAGACTGGGCCACAAACCACCCTGGGCTGTCCAGGGCCGTGGCCACCACTGACCTTGGATCTGAGCTGGGCGCTGGGCCCCAACTGCCCATACCCAAATTGCTCAGACGGGGGCGACCCGCGGGCCTACTAACCCTCACATGTGCCATGCGGGATAGTCTGGGGCCTCGCCGTGCACTTGGCTCCTCAGGTCTGGGGCAAGAGCAGGTGCAAGGCGCACAGTGGTGAGGCTGGGACTCACTGTTACAGTCCTGCTGTCAGAGCAGGACCATGAACAGGTCACTGTCCAGTCTGGGGTCCCTTCCTCAGTAACGTGGGGATGACAGTACCCCTACTTGGTGGTACAATGCCAGGCAGTGAGCACGTGAGCCGTCAGGCAGAGCATTAGGGCGTGGGCCGCCATTCAAGTCCTCAGAGGGGACCCACAGGAGGACACAGAACTCTAGGGCACGTGAGGTCACCCTGGACAAGCCCACCGTCCCCGGAGCAGCCAGATGCATCCGAATCTGCCTGGTGCTTTATTCTGTCTTAAGCACTGGAGTGGCTCAGGCTGGGGAGTGGGAGGCACTCAATGCTTCCCTCTTGATGCAGGAGCGTGATCGCCACACACAACCCCATTTGCATTTGCACACACAGTCTGCCCACATTCAGTATGTGAAATAACTCTAGTGAGCTCGTGCCCGCAGCTGCAGGGTCGGGCCGTGCCCTGGGATCCGGGCCCCTCAGACAGCGCCGGGCAAGCAGCCAGAGAATGAAGAGCACCGGGAGTCTGGCCTGAGTCCTGCACCGCCCCCCGACCTGAGCAGCGGTGCACCTGTCCACCTGAGTGCCCACCAACGGGCAGCCTCCTGCTGTCTTTTTAGGGCCCATCTGCGGGGAGCTGACTGGTCCCAACCACTGACCTCTGCCATGCCCCTAGCCCCATCCCAACGTACAAGGAGGAGGCCTAAGGGGAGCAGGTTATTCCGAGAGCAGGGGTGCTGGGTTGGGGGAGCTTTGGGGCTCTCGATATGTGGAGACAGGCCTGTGGCACCAGGAGGACACGGGCCCCCATCTCCCAGACACAGCAGGCTAGGACCACGGTCACTGTTCCTGAAGACACATGTGGCCTCCACCTTTGCGAGGTTTATTCTTCCAGTTGGGGAGGGGTCAGGGCCCCCAGGAATCCTCCCTGGGATGGTAGATGTGGTCTCGATCCTCCTCTGGCCCTTGAAGCACCTGGGGAAGTGACAGTGCCCAGGACCAGAGCCCTGCCTCATCCTGGACCTCCTGGGCCTCCTCGGGCGGTGGGTGGTACAGGTCATCACGGTCTGGCTCAGGGTCCCACCTGGGGCTTGGAACATGGCCCAGGGTGTCCTCGGTTCGTGCCTGGGCTTTGGTGCCTAAGCACAAGGAGATGGGTTGGAGGCGTGGTTCCCATCTGGAGGGAAGCCGACTCCATGGCGCTCCTGTGCTGTGACCTTGTTCTCCGCCCTCCCCCGTGCCCCGCCAGGGGTGCCCACCTTGACCTTGCAGCTTCTCCCCCGTGGCAGCTGCAGGCTTTGGTGCCACCAGCAGCCCCATGAGCTGGTTGTCCTTTTTCAGAGTTTCCACCACTCGGGCGCCCCAGGCCCTGCGAGCACAGCTGGGTCAGTCAGGTCTACCTGCTCCGAAGGAGGCAGCCAGCCAGCCCCGCATGAGGGTGCCACCACCTTCTGAGCAGCCCGGGGGCCCTGAGCAGGAGACCTGGTGGGAAGTTGCTCCCCACCAGAGTCCTTGGTGGCTCAGTTCCATCACTCGCCACCTGCCCCAGGGGCCCCGGGACAAGCACCCCTGCCCCCCCGCCAAGAGCTACGGCCAGGCAAACTCCATGGAACCCAGACCCGCAGGCCAGGCTTCCCCACCACATGCCTGAGCTGCAGGGGGCCCAGGAAGGTAGGAGCATCCCTTGGGAGGCATCCTAAGGGTGTCCCCTGAGAAAACGACCTGGCCCAGCCCTGGGTCATGGAGACCCAGAGAACGTGGGTGGGAGCTCCCTCCTGTTCCGGAGGCCAGGCCTGTGCAGGCTGGGGAGTGGCTTTCTGCCCTCTGGCCTGGCCCAGTGGCCCTGGGGGAGAAACCAGCCGGGGTTGCCTCATGTGAGTGCAGGGAACGGGGCATGGCTTAGGAGGACCTTTGTCTGTGGCCACGGCCCTGGGGGTGGGGTAACTATCCTGGAGGCTGCTAGGAGAGCTGGGGGATCATCCTGGAGCCCCCCTGCCCCTGGCTCTGGTAAGCCGCTGGCAGGTCCCGTGGGGGCCCATGCTGGCTGGAGCATGGCCCCCTCCCCGAAGCTGCTGGGCAGGTCTTCCCCGCCATCCACAACGCCCTTAGTTTAGGGGGTTCCCAGAAGGGGCTGCTGGGGGCACTCACTCCTCTGTGTCCTGCTCAGGGGCCCCGACATGGCCTTTGGTCTTGATGAGGACCTGGAAGAGGGAGATCACAGGTGTGGGGTCCAAGGTCAGAGGACACCTGCAGAGAGATGGCTCCAAGGCCCCCTGGACCACACTTGCTGACTCCACCCCACCTTTTGCAGACTGGACAGAAGCCGTGTGGTTCCTGGAGAGACAGGGCCACCCCTGGGGCCGCGTCTGCACCACTCCTCCCTGGCTGATGGCCTGAGGAAGGGGGCCAGCTCAGTCCAGCCCTCTGTGGAGCGAGTTGAGCACGGGGGAGTGAATGAAACGTGACCCCTGGGAAGCGACCAGCTGTCTGTTGCCAGGAAGGGGTGGGCTTTCCCCTTCACCTGGTCTCTCCCAGGTGTGCAAGTCTGAGTGGTCTTGGCCCAAGGCGGGGTAGGAGGGGAAGAGGGATGGGGAGACACGGCCTGACACCAGTTACCTGCACAGAGAGCACCTGAGCAGCATGTGCAAGGACGGAGGATGTGCTCGGACTCAGTGCAAGTGAGCTTCATCAAGGGCCCCCTCCTCCACCTGGACCACCTGGGCGTCCATGAGCCTTGCCCATCAGACCCCACACAGGGGCCCGCTCCCCCTCATCCTGAGGGTCCCTCCCAGTGCCCACAGGGCCACCCGCCGCACTTGGTGTCCTTCCTTCACATTCCTTGCTGGTGGGGCAGGGCTGGGCGGAGAAGCCCGCACATACCTGGGGCAAGAAAGCCGAGCCTGTCTCCCCCAGCAGCAGAGCCACCAGGCTGATGACCAGGAGGAGCCTGAGGGGACCAGAGAGGAGAGTGAGAGGCCGGCCAGGGTTGCTCCTGCTCATCAACCTCCAGACAGGACACCTAGGGGGGCAGCCCCGTGTGGTTGGCAGTATGGGTCCCAGCCAGGGAGGCCTGGGGCCAGGTCCACGGGTAGATTCATGGTCTCTCCATCTCACAGACCAAGGACACACAGGCACAGAGACGTGGGACCGCCACAGGCCCACGCGTGCTCCCAGGGCCCCTCAGACGAGGGGCTGCTGCCCCGCTGCACCCAACATTCTGGACAGATCCTCCGCTGCAAGCACGGGCCGCCGGGTGGATATGATGATCCGTGCCTTGCCTCCAGCTCCCAGCATCTGGGCTAGCAGCCGCACACAGACACGCACCCCCTTGGGCACAGAGCGGTGAGGGCTCACAGCATCCTCGCCTAGGTGCTGATGGGCTAGGACCTGGGGCAAGGATCTCAGAGTGCTCTCTGTCCGTGGCACCCCTGAAGCTGTGCACGGTGGTTCCCTCAGGGCCAGACTGCGCCTTGGCTCGTCTAGAGTTGTGCGTGGACTGCGGTGTCAGTGCGTGGGCACGAAGCCCCAGAGGAGGCAGGGAGGATGGGTGCTCTTCCCAGACACGTTCAACTTGACCCCTAGGGAGGCCAGGATGGCCAAGAGGGGAGAGGAGCCAAGGACCAAGCCCCAAGCAGGGAGTCTGCAAAGAAACACAGGACAGGCGACAAATGGACCCAGCAGTAAAGGTGCTAGAAGCCTCATCCAAGACAGGAGAGGAGAGGATGGGAGACTGGTGCCTGGTCTGTGTGTGAGCGTGATGCAAGTGTACATGGTGTGTGTGTGTGCGTGTGTGCATGTGGTGTGCGGGTGCATGTGGTGTATGTGTGCACGCGTGGTGTGTGCACGAGCCTGTGGTGTATGTGTGCATGGTGTGCATGATGTGTGCATGTGGCGTATGTGTGCACGCATGGTGTGTGCACGCGTGGTGTGTGCACGAGTGTGTGGTGCATGTGTGTGTGGTGTGGGCACGTGGTGTATGTGTGCACGCGTGGTGTGTGCGCGAGCGTGTGGTGCATGTGTGTGTGGTGTGCGTGATGTGTGCATGTGGCGTATGTGTGCACGCGTGCTGTGTGCACGAGTGTGTG